TCAAAAACAAAAATTTGGGAAAATGTTTGATCGCGCACGGGCGGGATCCCTACGTTGTGTTACGGATATAAAATAAAACAACACCGATTGCTTTGCCGTCCTGCCATGGCAGAGGCAGTGAAACTATTGATATATATTTATTGTTATCATCGGTATCATTTGTATCTGCTTATGTGAATGTGTGTATCGCCGGTTGGGTAGGTGTACATATATACGACGTATTGTACAAACAATGTTATTTGAAATATTTTCAATAAAATGGTGAAAACCACATTCTTTTAAAGTGTTTCTGTTCGCAAAAAAAAGATCGCAAAAATCGACCCTTTCTTCCGGCTTCTACACTGGCCTAACCCCTTAAGCAAAATGACCATAACATTTTACTAGGGAATTTCTAAACAATTTTTTCATGGATTCTTAGAGAATATTGGGGAAAATTCTGAGGTGAATTCCTAGAAAGTTCTAGGCAAAATTGCTACGACGTTTTGAAATCTTAATCGTGAATTAGAAGAATATTTTTCGGGAAACTCGAGGTGAATTCCATAGGAATTTACAAAATATTTTCAAAGGAATACCGAGAAGAATTCCATGGAAATCAAATTATGAGGGCCGTTCTAAGAACATTCTGAGGAGAGCTCTAAAAGAATTCAGAGAAGAGTTTCAACTGGCAATTTCTGGCAGTATTCTAATAGAGTCTGTTTTCAAGGCAATTTCCAGAAGAATTTCAATATCGTTAAGATAAGACTGATTCTGATGAGTATACCAAGAGATTTCTTAAAAAAAACCCAAAGGCAGGGTATGTACTACCTTGAAAAACCTGGAAACCGGGAATGATCAGGAAATTTTATTTTTCGTGGAAAAATATTGAATTTTCGTGAATTTTAGAATTTCTCATATCAAGCACCATCCGATTTTTAGAAAATAAATTAGAATATATTGAAGTAGGTTGAGCCGGTTTTTGTCCCTAGTGGTCCTCTAATTGACCATATCCTAATTTTCAATTTTATTCATTCTTTACCAAATTTATTTCGAACATAGATTTTGCCCGAGAGGGGGACTCTATCTTCGATGCAGGAAACAATGTGTTTTGCTGTGGTTAGCTGCGCGCACGCTGAGTAGATAGAAAGAAGATTGATGATGATTCTGAAGATGTGTGAAGATTTGTTGAGCATCTAGAATTGAGATTTAGATGTGTCGCCCATCTATGTTTTGCCATATATCTACTCAAATAAATCCATGACGATTTATTTCAAATTGGGCTGAAAACTGGAGCACTAGTGCCATAACTGGTACACTTTTCCTACGGAACAGTTGAAACTTCAATTGTTTTTTGTAGGGTTCTGAATCCTGAATAATTTCAGCAGATTTTAAACTTTGACGAATTCTTGAAACCCTGGATTTAATAAAATCAGACTTTGAGAAATTTTCAAGAATCTGGAACGAACATAAACAATAAATGTGTTTTAAGAACGCAGATTAAAAACAAGCTTTGCAAAAGTTTCTCAGTTGATGGGCTTTAATGAATGAATTTGATGAGAATTTCCAAGAAGCTTTAGGGATGATTTCAAGGGAATTCAGAGGAGAACTCCAGGGAAAGAATTGTTTGGAAAACTTGAAGTGAAATCTGATGAAACGTAACGAGGATTTCAACGTAGTTCTGAGTGTAATCACAAGGGAATCCAGAGCAGAATTCAAAGAAAATTACGTACAGAATTCTGATGACGATTCCAGCGTAATTCCAAGAGAGTTCTATCTAAGGTACCCTATCCCAAGAAAAGTGGAAAGAATACAATTAAAATTTTGAGTATTATTCCTAGGAATTCTAAGAAGTATTCCAAAGTAATTCTAAGAATAGTTTCAAGGTAATTTTCAACTAAGTTTTTAGTTAAATTTCAAAGGCATACCTAGGAAAGTTCCAAGGCATTCCTGTAATCATGTTAACAGAAATCGAAGAAGAATTCCTAGGGTCCTAGGGAATTCTGAGCAGCATTTCAATAAATTTACGAGACTGCTCTTAGAGAATTCTGAGCGGAATTTAGAGGGGATTCCAAAGATAATTTAATAGGAATTTTAGGAGATGCTTAGTGAAAACTGAAGGGAGTGTATTTCAGGAGAATTGTTTGACAATTCCAATGTAATTCAGCGAACCTAATTAAGAAATGTAAGGGAACTGGAGAGTGAATCAAAGAGCCTCCTGGAGATCATTTCGTGTGGATAAAATTATAAAGGTATACCATTGAAAGTTCTAAGAAGCACTATGTGGGAATTAAGAGATACCTCCAAGGGGTAGGTCACTCCGCACACCAGTCTTGGATCATCTTTGTTGTCAGTGTACCGCAAGTGTGCCGATTATGCCGGTCATAGAGCAAGCTGCGTTTGTTTTGTAAAATATTCATCCCGGCAACCCCGTATTTCTGACACCTTGAATGTTTTGGTTTGAAATCGCAAGGATAAATCGGATTGAGGATGACGCGGGAAGTAGCGGATGAGCAAAATGATGGTGCTTTGTGTTCATAAGATAATAAAAGGGGGGTGTGTTAAACGGTTCTATAATGCCCTCAAAGGCAGACCAGAAACCTAGCCTTTCGTGATATGAAAAGCAACGGTCTATCAGCGGCCGGAAACAGTTGGAGCCGGTGGGGAACATTGTTTGAGACCGACTATAGAGGATGATGAATAGACTTCTGTAGTTTGTTTTTTTGTGAGTTGCAGCATTATTTGAATTAAGGGTATTAATGGGGACAAACAGACATAACTCTTTGAATAAGTTTTTCTTGAAAACATAGACCTCAAAGCAATGACATCGCTTGGGCTTCTCGCGTAAAACAAGCATGCTCATTAAGTCACAAACAATGTTGCATACAAGGTAAACAATATATAGAAACGTCAAAGTGATCCTATGCTATTGCATCGTTAAGTAGTTTGCGGAAATGATAATTTTCAAATCAATCGTTAAATGCGTGTGAGCGAACTGCTGGTCTGAGTTCTTCAGTCAGTCAAACAGCGCGTAATAACTTTGATGACAGTTGTCCAACATTGCTCCCATTTTATTTATAACAATCGAATGCCTACGATATTGTGCCGATGAATGTGCCCAAGCTGTGCCGATTATATATATCTCGACATTTCTCCCTATCTCAATGATTTGGGCAGTCCAAACAGGTTTCTGAAAGTAGCATAGCTCTGTAGTATTAAACCGGATCCTATTGCGATAAAAAATGTTTCAATGATACACTAGACTGATGCAAAATTTAACATTTTCGCCTCATACTGCTCAAGCGGTTCCAAATCAGGTCTATATTAGCCTCCCAAGAATTGAACTGATTTGGTAAGAAACTGACTGGGCACAAAACATTTGAAGTTTATATGCGAATTACTATGAGGAAACCTAACTTTTTCTTCGTAGTCTTCTATCCTTCGTCCATATTGCACCGTTAAAAAATTCTATAGCTATTCTTATGAAAATTTTCTAAGCTACAACTTTGCGGAATATTGTTTTTTAGCCAAACATCAAATTAAATAGTTATTAATTGTTTAAGAGATTAATAATCTTTTGGCATGCAACACTGTTTTCTGTAGTGTGACATATAGTAGCCATGATGTTTTAGCTCTATTCTACGCGCCAAAAACACCAATATTGCCTGCTGAGCAGTTGATAAAGCATAATCATAAGGTAATAGTGACTTGAATCATTTATAAATTTTGATCCTTACATTTTATCGAAAAATGGTCTTCAAGAAAGTTGTAGCTGTGAAAATTTACTACAAGTACAGTGATCAATTTTTAGAGCAGAGTAATAGGGTGAATTATTAGATAGATATGAACACAAAATTTGGTTTTCCCATAGTAATTTCCATATAAACTTCAAATGGTTTGAGCCAAGTCTTAGTTTCTTACTAAATGAGTTCAAATTTTAGAAGGTTAATCAGGAACCAAATTGGAACCGTTTGAACACTGTGGAGCGAGAATTTCAAATTTTGCATCAATCTAATGGTACACCCAACTGGGAAATGTAAGATTCTATTACAGATTTGCATGAAAAGTATGCATAATTTGCAATGATTCCCGACATGAACAGATTTTGCAATGTGTCGCCGTAAAGTAAATAATTTTGAAACATTGTGTGGCATTAGTTGGTGGGAAAATTTGCTTGATACAAGAGAGATTCAAAAACCCACACTCTATGACAATTCATAATATTGAAAAAGTACACAAAAATTACAATTATTGATACATTTTTGAATTGGTCCTGTGTCCATTTGTCGCTCAAAAAATCGATTAGGCGAAAACATCGAGATATCGAACATAGTTAACTAGAGAGTTGGCTGTAGTACGTTTTAAGCTTATCATTCGTACATCTTTTAGAAACTATTTTTATAAGTGTTACTAAACCTCCGTTTTGAAAGCATTCCAAATTATTTTTCATCATGAGCTGATCTCCCCCCGAGTGAAGTCGCTTCCGTTTAACGAAAAATATGACCCTCACGTGACGGACACTATTGGATCGTGCTTCTTGTGAACGCGGCGTGAGCTGGGAGGTGATTTATGCAAAACACTCCCCGATCGCAGTGACCCTCGGAAATGCATGCACGCAGTCTTCATTCTTTCCGACGACGGCAATTTTCGACACTCGTGCGGCACCAATCTGTCAACGAGAATCAAGCTCTTGATCGCATTTTCCGTCTGATCTAATTTGTATTTTGTTTTGTTTTGTGCTTAGGCAAGAAGCTGGTCCGAGGCAGGTTCTCAGAAGTGGACAGAAGTTTAAAAAAACTGCAACAAACCCACTGCGCAACCTGGGGTGATTAAGTTGAATTTATTTGAAAGGTTTTTTCTTCGTTTGGAGGCTACCGTGGCGCGTATCTAAACAGACGTAGACCGAATGTCGGATTTTTAAACAGTGAAAACATTAGGGGGGAAACAATCGCGAGTGACAACGTGTTCATAAGCTATCCGCATTTAGCTGGCTTCATTCTTACGGGTGTTGTTTTACTGATTATCAGCAAGATTTTAGTGGGTGGTGATTGAAAGCAACCGGAAGATACCGAGATTAATTTTCACTGGAATAAATGGAAAAAAAGTGCACAGTGATTCAGTGAGTAAGCGAAAAACCGCACGATCAGAGAAAAGAAGAACATCTTTCAGCATAAAAAGTTAATCCATCCATCCTGTGGAAGCAGAAGAGCCCCATACCTGTTTAGCCAGTCAGTGTTGTTTTCGTAGTTGTTGTTGTTGTTTGCCGCTGCGGTAAAGAAGAAGTTTAACACTCACACAATCGTGCTTTGCGAAACTCCAAGTCGGAATACAGCAGAGCCAAGAGAAGCCCATAGCAATAATTGTGCAGTCGTCGTCTTTGCTGAGGGCTAACCACTTATTGAAGAAGGAAGAAAGAAACGTGTACAACCAAATTGGCCGTACATACGTGCCAACTTCACTCACACAAACAAGGATTGGAATCGACTTCGGTGTGATTGACTTGTGGGGAAGCGAGAAAAAGTTGAAAATCAACTTTATACAATACTTCGGAGCCACCAGCAAGCAGCCAGTAGCAGCAGTCAGCAGCAGCAGCAGCAGAAGAGACTTGGCTTAGCCATTTCTTATTTGAAATTCTTCTGCATACACCGTTAGCATAGACCAAGGTGAGTTGTTGCTGTTGTTGTTCATGACGTTAGTTTTTGTTAGTATGATGGGGAAATGATTCTTGATGGTTGTTTTTCTTATTCCTTGTCGAGCGCTGCGTTGAGCTATTGGCGCTCGGCTGGGTTTCTTTTTTTATTCATTGATGGTTTGGCTTTCGAAATACCCTACTTTGCTTTCAAGATGCAATTGGGGACACTCTTGGAAGTGGTAACGAAGCTTTTTTTTTACAAAAAATGTCACTATAACAATGTCTTAACAATTTTTCACCATATAATTTCTGTGACATTTACCACCTCGGCTATTGGTAAACGAAATTGGAACTCTGAAAAAGTTTCGAGTTTGTTAATCCCTTCCCATAAGGCACCGTGCACTTATTACGTAAGATTTTTCTTGGGATTCTTCTATCACAGCCCAGCTCCACCTTAGTATGATCTTACGTCGAACATTAACAAGTTCTGTATTCTTCATGTTATTTTTCATGATTAAGTAATTTTTTTTTCAGAGATTCCATCCCTCCCTTGTAAGAAAACGTAAGAAAATTTTCCTTTAAAATCTTACGTTATAAGTGCATGGTCCCAAAAAACTCCATACAAAAGTTTAGATGACCTCAATGAAATGACATACATCGATCATCTTATCCAAAAGATTCCGTAATTCACTTGCTTGATTACGGAATCTTTTGCATAACTGTTTTGGGCCTGGTTTCGAAGACTGAGGAGGATTGAGATTTTCCAAATCCTCGAGGTCCACTGACTCACTCACTCATGTATCCTACGCACTTTCATTGTTGCAATTCGTGTCTGTTGATTTTCGCTAAAAGTCCTTACCGTTAAGTCAGTTCGTAGCCTTCCATTGTTGGTTTCTGTTACGGATATAATTTTCGACGGCAATGTGTGAATGGCCTTAGGTATCCACCCCCTAATGGAACTGCTATCTTAGATGTAGGTTCTGGGTATACTCATTTCATATTCAGCTGCTGGATGCCAGTCAGACGCTGTTTGTGCCGCACCTCCATGGTGGACCGTCGCACAGTGAGGTGAAGTGGTCTTAAGTACCTATAGTGGTACCAACTCACTTGACGGAGGCTGTTTTCGGAGGTTATGGTTTTTCGAAGATCTTTCATAGAACCTGCTGTTCAGTCCCGTCACATCTATAGACAGCTCCCGCAGTATGTTTGCGATTGGTTATTTTTTATATTAGCAATTAATCATCATATGTAATGGCCATCCTTTGCCTCCCTTAGCTCAGTCGGTAAAGGCATAGCTAAAAAGCAAGACCATGCTGGAGATGGTTGGGCTCGATTCCTGGTCCTGTCTAGGAATTTTTCTCAATTAATAACTGATAAGTGCATATAGAATACTAAGTTGAGATCACGCAATAAGCGAATATGCGGTAAGCAATAAGCTTGAAATGCGAAGAAGAAAAATAGAAGAATAATGACCATACGTTATCCGCAACCTACGACCCGTCCGCTGAGCCTAGCAGTCCGCCTGTATACGCTATAGCTTATAGGAACTAGAGAGGGTCTAGTATAAGAGAGGAGCGGATTCAAAACAATTTGCCTTGGTAACCTATACCCAAGTGAAATCTAGCAACACTGCCAATGTAATCAAGATAGGCGCTGCTCGATTGGCTCTGACTTTGACAGTTCGTTCGACTCAAAACCATCCAATCCGCTCCTCTCTTATACTAGACCCTCTGTAATAGGAACCATCTTGATCATCTCGTAACTTTGGTGCTCATTGGATAAAGGAAAGAAAGTTTTGAACCCAACTAATGTTTTCTGGAAGAACTTCAAATGCTTCGTAGACCTATCCTTAAACTATCCTAAACTCGCCTTGGAGTATATGAATATATCGACGTGTACTCTGATTTTTGTTCTTGATTTCATACAGAATCCGAAGTTCACACTTTCTGTTACATCACGCATAACATTTGATAACGACACAAAAGCATTTGTAAACAAACTTTCTAATGCCCTTTACACGCGAACCAAAGTAACCACACAAAGATTTTAACATCTGATTCGCAATCAGGGAACCCACACTTGATAACAACAGTTGCTAGAAATTTACTCCAAAGTTTTTTGAGGGGTTCATCAATTCCACCCCATATCGATATTTTCAAATTGGAAATTTTAAAAATGGCTCAAAAATAAACAACACGCCTGATATGATAAATAGTTGTACAGATCGCCTCATAGCTATTGATTTTAATACCATTGGTTTGAAAGTTTTGTTTAATGCAGACATTTATTTCTATATTTACATTATTAGGTGATCAATTTGCATCCGGATTACGGTACCAAAAAGTTGATGATTCCGTGAAGATTTGTAAGCATCTTGATCTATACCTACCTGGCTAGTGTTTCCTACCCGGGACATCCCGGGATACAATTCCCGGGAAATTTACCAAAAATCACGTTTCCCGATTTCCGGGAATCGGTTTCAATTTCCCGGGAAACAATTTTAGAAGAATTTTTGGGTGAAAGTTATTACGAATTTCCCAGAGAAGTCAAGTTAAATGTTTAAGGAGAAAATTTGAAGAAACTTCATGAGGAATCCGGTGATCTTCTAAGGGAAATGTAAAATGTTCCAGCATTGTCATGCAATGCCAAAAGGACTTATCAGTCGGAAGAAACTTCCGGGTGTGGAAAAATAATTCTGGCGTTAAATTCGGTTCAATAGAAACGTCCAATGAAAGTTTAAACAAATTAACTGGAGCAGATGGATGAACCTTCCAGCGGAAGAAGCTACCGATGAAAGCAGGTGAAAATTAATAGGGAGGTTGGAAAATTCTGAGAGAATTCAAAACTATCTTCTAGGTCAAAAGAATCTCCTGAGGGTAGTCGTTAACAAAAATTCCAGAAGAAGTCGTCGGAAGAAAACATGGAGTCAGCTTGGCAAAACTTTCCGATGGCTGCATAAATATTGAAAGGATGTGGTTAAACCATTGGTTAAATTATACTATACTTAATAAATCGTTCTACAGAAGTTATGAAATAACATTCTGATGAATAACTATTATGAATTCCATTTAATTCTTTGCTTGAATTCCCGGGAAGAGCCATCAGCTGTTTCCCGTTTCCCGGGAAAAAATAATTCCAAATTTACTTGCCAATCGTTCTTCAGAATCCAATGTTTGCACAATTACCTGCCCAAAGCGTCTTCGAATTTCTCTGCTGGTATCATTACAGGGCTGTTACAACAGGCGCGGATTTCGCGAATTTCGCGGATTTCGCTTTTTTCGCGGTTTTGTCGCGGATTTGAACTTTCAGTCGCGAAAATCGCGGAAACATTAAATGATGTCGCGAAAATCGCGAAGGGACTGATGTGCTGTCACAAAAATTGTGGAACCGAACCCGCCGCCTCCGGCTTAGTAATACCGTGCCTTTACTGACTAGGCTATGAGGCCCAGAACGATTTAGAGTACTCAAAACATCTGGTAAACTCGACAATAGTTCATGCATGATCCACATAGACATTATTTCGATACTAAAGACATTGTCCCAATCTCAGTTGATCTAGTAGATCAAATTATCTGAACACCAGGACGATTTGAAGAACCTTGAACATCTGGATTACTCGGAAATTGATCATGCATGATCCACATAGACACTTTGAATCTGATTGGACATTTTTCGATACTACAGACATTATTGCAGTCTTGGTTGATCTAGTAGAACAAATCAACTGATGTCCTGGACGATTTGGAAAACCTATAATTTCCGGTATACACAGTAATGAGTCACATATATACGATTCGAAAAGTGCTACACGCAAACCAAAAATCTATTACAATGAATGTTAGTTCCATTTCCTATCATCCTCTGTTCATGAACATCGCAGCGAATGTTAGAAGTTGACCTTACAGGCGATGTAATGGTTTTTTGCCTTTTTTTTATTTCGTGCTCTGTCTGTGCTTTCACCTACACAAGCAAGCATTTGCCTTGATTTTTATTTATAACATGGTAGAACGACGCACACCCTTGCCGCGAATCTCTCCAGCAGAAAAAGCATACGAAGTCGAGTGTGAGAGGAAAGGAACGCTTCTTGTTTGCTTTTAGGCTATCCTTATTCAGAAGTATGGAGAGAGCAGTGGAGAAAGCACAGGTCTGATAATCGCAACGTTCGTGGTTCGAGTCCAGTCGGCAACCTATTTTTTTTCGACATAATAAATTTACCTCACTAATACACTCTACATTTTTCGGTCTCCAATTTTCTTGCATTGGACCGCAGCTAGGTAAATCGCATCTTCGGTTCATGTGGTCTCCACTTACATCCTCTGATGATGAATCCCACATAATTGTAAGCGAATCTTACATCCACCGGTTGGGTGTAGGTTAGAAACAAAAAAAATAGAATCTCATAATGTAAGAGTGTTTTATTATGTTCACTAATCACTCAGAATTTATACTATACATAAATAACTGAAGATGATACATTTTTATTTTATTTTTTCAAAGGTTACAAACGATACTCCTTTAGCTCAGTCGGTAAAGGCGCAGCTACAAGGCAAGTCCATGCTGGAGACGACTAAGTTCGGTTCCCGTCCGGTCTATTAATTGTTCGGGTTGAAAAATTTCTCTACTTCCTTGGGCATAGGATGGTACAGGCATAGAAAGCTTTTAATTGAAAATGTGAAAGTACTTCAAAGAACACTAAAGCAAAAATCTAATGTGCTATAAGCCATAACCTTGAAATGCCATGTAGTAGTATACAAATGCTATTTTTAGGCAATGAAAACAGTTTTTTTTGTCGCGGATTCGTATTTGAAGTCGCGGATTTCTTTTCAGAAATCGCGGATTTCGCGGATCAAATTTAGAAAATCTTGTAACAGCCCTGCATTATCGGCGATCACCAGTGAGCTCAAATACACGAACTCGTCAATTTTTGATGTAATCACTATCGCTATTTTGATCACCTTTCCGGAATCCCATTCAAGTGTCCCCGAAACTCGGACCAAGCACATTACTCGTTCCATCGGACCTTGAGCCTCA